TGCATATAGTTTGACATTCAAGATATTTTAATGTTATCAGCTAGCACTGCCTGCCATCCGGGATGAGTAATGTTTTCTTGACCAATTATTTATGTGCCTCTAAACAAGAGTGAGTTTCGAGAAGGGATTTATTTGAAGGTGGAAAGCAAAACTTCTGTGTTAGAAGAGAGGGCCACAAATGGACTATGCCAAATCCCTGCTTTATTTAAGGGAGAATAAAGCTTCAGTAAATATCATATGAAGGTATGGAAAATTCTGTCATAGTTTGGCAGAGACATTCATATGGTGTAGGCGGATGGGTGTTCAAGCCTGACATGACTGGCAAAGCAGCACTGGTGACATGGGAGGACATCCACATTATAGGAAACACGAGGGGTGAAAGTATGACCTGGTGTTCTCAGGGGAAGAGAAATTGCTTGGCAGAAGACCTCACCTGGGAGGAAACAAAAGAGAAAACACAGAAGCTAACCCCAGCTCCCACCATCCATGCAAACCCAGTGAAGAAGCAATTGAGATGTCAAGCTGGTCTTTAGTCCATGCCCCTGTTACTGTCAGGAAAAATTCGTTTTCGCTTTTTAGTAATTAAAATGTTCATAGATGTTTTATTAACTCACTCTACAGAGCCACATAGATTTTATAATTCATCCAAGCACTTACAAGTAGTTACTTGTGTTAGGCTGTCAAGACAGAAATGATTCAAAGCCTTGTGTACTGAGCTTCTTGGAAGACGTATCATTCCCTAACACAATGGTATTAGAAAGACTGCTGACAGTTAGTGATCAAGAGATTTCATTTTGCTTGTCATATGGTGGGTTGTCAATTCTTCTTTTCCCTTCAGATAAAAGCTTGGTTGCATTAGATTTCAATAACCGTGAAGTTGCAGGTTAACGCTTTTCAAAAGTACCAAAGTGACTTCAGTACTTAAATTCTATTTTCAAAATGCTGTAGACACCCAAGAACAGAAGTTTCTACAGTAAATGGAACTTAGACATTACTAAAGAAATTTATGGAATGGTGGAGAATAAAACCCCATCTCAAGAGAGTTATAGTTTGTACCGTAGTCCAGACCACAGGTTTAAAATACATAAAGTTTGTAGATTACTAAAATTCTAGGACAAGACAAAGACTTACATTTTCATTCTTAACATGTTTGCTTTCACATTGATGTATCCTTTGCAGATTTCCCCTAGTATTTCTAAAAAAATTCTAAAGAGACAATTTTAAGATGGTCCTCACCACAAAGTACAAGTTTTCCTGAATTATGCTTAAGATTTAAACAGAGGCTGCAGGGATATTTCTACAAATTTGTCCAAGAAAAATATATATGCAAATTATTTGCCTTTTTTTTTCCCCAACAGCTTAGAGGAGGAAGTGACTGTTTAAACTTTGCTCCCCTCTCGAGTGAAATGTAAAATTGAGCCAGTACATAAAAGTGGAAAAGTAGCCCAGATTTTCCTTCTGTTAGTACTAACCTAGTATTAAGTAAATAAATAATCCATGTGGTTAGTCTATATTTAAAATATTTGTTCTTCTTTAAATATAAAGTAACTTTCACAGAAACAAACAGAAGTGGCTAGAGACTGAAATCATCCCTTTGATATTGAAGCTGAGTATTTTCTCCTTTAAGCTCCAAACATCATCTCCCTCATGCCCACAGGGCTTTCCCACTGTGCTCCAGCACTCCAGTGTTCTCATTCACTGCTCCCCTCACTGCTGAGCTCACATGATGGTCTGTGAAAGGGTGGTTACAAGCTTATGTTCCACGAGATTTCAGGAGCTTATCTTCATTCATTAATTGTTCTGTATTATGTTTAAATGGTGAATTTTTCAAGTTAAATTGTATTGCTTCTTATACTTTTAGTCTGCTCTGTTATTTCAGGTACCATCTATGAGATGTTGAGAACAAACACAGTTTGAAATAGAACTGCAATAGCAGCTATAGAACATCTAAAAGGCAAAAAAAATAGGCCAGACCTTTATTAAATTTTTAAAAGTATGCCTTTGCTACACTCTTGTAAAGATCCAAATAGGGTATTCAAATCTCCAGAGATCACCAGTATAATTTCTTTATCATGTTCCATTTAAAATTTAATTATGTAGTCTACAACAAGAAGTATCTGAGTACTCTAAATAGGTCATGCTATGAACAACTTAATATTATTATAAAGTTTTCCTTCTGAAGATCTGTTCTTTGATGTGCTGTTGCGCACAGAAAGCCTTTCTTCGAAAAAACAATATACATTCATAGCTATAATAATGTCATTTAATATAAAAATTGTAAAGCTTCTTTATCACATTTTAAGTTTGAATTTTCAATTCTTTCTCTAGCCTGAGCTTCCTCAAATCATCAGGAATAACTGGTAAATTAGAACTGACACAATATAATTGTGCTGAATATTTTTATATCTTTCTACGAGCCGAGTTAATCTATTAACTTTCCTTCTAAATGATGTCCACCAACTCACATTTTTCTACTTTTGTCTATCAATGTTATGCATATTTCAGCGGAGAAGTAGTGTAATCTCTTCTTCCTCTTAAATATAATCAGTAGAGAACCATCAGCAGCATTTAATGGAAAATTACTATATTAAAAAGTCACCACTGACCAAGTCACTTTGTTATATTTGCTTTTTTTGAAAAATGTACACACGTGACTTTTCTTGGTTACTATAGAAGATGAAAAAATATTCACAATATTCTTTTCTGTAAGTTCTGACTAATTACAGGGCTTTAAAGGAGCAAATCCCTAACTCCTCTTCTTTAATTAATCTATGAAAAATTCAGAAGGAGTTTTTGAGAATTTTCTTTTATTTTTTTTTTATTTTTCTAATGACAACAAAAAACATTCGTGCCGCCAGTGCCTAAACTTTCCTGACAGCCAGACAAAATATTCCAAGTACAGACACATCTGTTCACACTTACATCATTTGCAGTTGAAAACCCTCTTTCACCAGGTTTACAAATGCTTGAAAAAGATTTGAGCAATCCTGGGTACAAATACATCCACGAGTCATTACTGCTCCGAGAAAAGGCATCTTGTTTATCTGAGGATTTCTAGAGTTACAGGGGGCTTGCTCTGCCCCATTGCACAAAATACAACAAGGACAGTGATGATGGGAAAGTGGTTATTAATTTCAGCAAGGTGCAACACCTAGAATTTTCTGTGCTGTATCGTAGTTTCAGGGTGAAGATGGAAGAAGATGTGGTGTCGGTGGGGAAATTAGACTATTTCACTGTTATGAATTAATAATACCAAAGTGATTCTCTTGAAGTTTGAAAGAACAAAAAATATTAGATTAGTACATCACACCATAAGATTAAAAACCCCAAAGAACTACTTGTTTAGAGAGATGCAGGAACAGGTGAATCCTGAAGGCTGGAGGACAAGCCAACCTGCACCCAGCTGGAAACATTTGTTTTAAATCATGACAAGATCATTTGGTTTAATATTTATAACACAATTACAGTCCCTTGTGCACATTGCTGGTATAATCTGATTTTTACTTGTGACATCTTGCTACAGTTGAAATTAAAGCCTTGTGGTAATAATTCAAAAAGCACATTTAGACAATCATTAATGGCAAGTACAAAACAGGATGTTTATTCAAGCACTTATGTATCTCATTTTAACTTTAATTTGAAGTGGAATTCATTTCTGTAGTATAAGAACTTCATGTTTCCAGTATATTAGTCCTATAATACCTAACCAATTGGGGTATGCAGTCAAACTGGAAATATTTTAGCACTAAAACCAGTAAAAGATACAGCTAAGCATTGATATTGACATTCCTACTCAAGGACATGGCTACTCTGTTGAATCTCTCTTTTTTTTTTTTTTTTGGTAAGTATGAAGAATTGCAATTATTTTGCAAGAAAGATTAAAAAAATCTTTTGTGTCAGGTAGGCCTGATCATTGGTCAGCACTTCAAACACTTGGCAAAATTTCACCAGCATATTTCCTTAAACAACTTTAGATATCAAGTGACAGCCATAAAAACAAATTTATCTATTAAATAAAGTAATTACATAAATCACACAAGTTTGTACCAACAGAACAAATTGTTTACAGAGTGGGAAAAACATCACATATAGTGAAAATATACATTTTTATAGCTTATCAATATAAGCAAGTCAACTAGTGTATACCACACACACCCTAAAGAAAGGCACGTATTTTTTCACTGCCTTAGAAGTAGAAATAACTTATATGTATTACCACATTTAAAGAAAACTGACTTGCTTGTTGAAATATTCCTTTTACATTATATATTGTCTGAACTACAACACTGCTTTTAATCAGAGGGCAACAAAACCCCCCAAAACATCACTAAAACCCCCTGCATCTCAGAGAGCAAAACTGGTGACAGAAGGTACAAGTGGACTGAGAACACCTTTTTTTAACTCACAGGCATCTCTCCTAAGTGACAGGTTACCATATCAGATTTTTGTGTTTCCCTTCTCTTCACCTTTCTGTATGATTACAGCATTTTACTGCACCCTCTGACAATATGTAGGCAGGTCTCTCTTCAGAAACCTCTCTCACAGCCTGGGAGTCTTGTCTAGTTCTATTATTTTATGAAAAGCTTTCTCAGCACAGAAGAATCTGGTCTAAGCTGCTTTCCAAATGAAAATGTCTCAAGATCACAGTGTTTCTTCCTCCTACCTCCAGGTTCCCCTCCCCTCATGCCTCAGGTGAAATGTAAAGCAAAAGCCAAACCACCTGCAATGGGTATAATTGCACAGCTGGAAGGAAGCCACAGCTGGGATTTTTCTCATCAGGAGCACAACTGTGCTGAGCCTCAAAGCCACTTCAACATGTTGCTTTAACTGTGTGGGTTTGGCTGTGCCAGTATTTCAGTGTCTGTGGCATGCAGCCCCAGTTCTCAGTATCCCAGCAGTTTTCCTTAGGAAAAGGATCATGTTCTGGCTCAAAAGGTCGTGCTTCTTTCAGCACCTTCCAGACACTGACACACAGATGCAGTTTAGAGCAACTTGCTTACCTTGGTAATGTTCCAGATAACTCTGTGGCAGTCTCTCTGAAAGACACAAAGTGGGAAAAGATTAACTTGTGTTTTAAATAGCTATGAAATTTTAAAGAAGCCTTTATGCTGCTTGTATTTTGTAGGAGCGCAGACACACGTACACGGCTCCGTACGCAAAAGCGTCGCTTGCAGATGCGATGTCCCCATGATCATATACAAAAGAATGCGAAAAAAACAGATGACGGAGTGTGATCTAAGGATTTCATCAGAATAAAGTTCTCCGTGGTACAATTACTCATTTTTTTAGGCATAAAATTATCACTATTTCAAATGCCAGCACTGCATGATCTTACATATCCAAAATGCAGCACTGGGCCAATTTCCCTGTGGAAAATGTTCCCTTTTTTTTCAAGTGCTGCAGCAAAAGCAAGACATTAGACGGTTCTACAATCATGTTATGCACTGAAAAAAATACCATGCTAATGTTAAATCTTCTTATGGTGGGTTTAAACTATAGTTGTTTTCCAAATACGTGACTTCATATTTGGAAACGTTACTTGTCTGAAACTCTCTTGTGGGTTTGCAATTTGTTTGAGGGAAGCTGAGTGTGAGATGGTGAAAGCAGGCTAATGTAGTGGTATGTCACATTAAAGCACAATTAAATACATTATCATTAGCTAAGTACACAGTCCTTAAAATACATCCCAGATCTACCATTGCTGTGTGTCCTTGTTCCTCTACCCAGCACATTTGCTTAGACCTTATCCAAGCATGAGGAAAACAGTTGGATAGCTCCTTTTCTCCTTTCTCTCTCATTTATAAGATCCTAAAAAAAAACAGCAAGGAGGCATAAGGGGGTTTGTTGTCCTAAACTGGACCAGAGGTCCATCTCATTTCACACTTTTCTCATCCAGATATGAAATCTCTGCCCTATGGTTAAGTTTGCTGCATGAAAGGTAACAGGTTAGTTCATACCCTGTTTGCTTCAGCTGAGATACAAATTGCAAAATTTCACATCTGTAGCTTGGAGCTTTAGAGCTGAGGAAGAAAAAATCCTTCCATCCACTTTTACATATGGGGGAGGAAATCCTTTTTATAAAGGGTGGTGGTAGTAATTAAGACAGGTCTCAAAATCTTCCTTGCCTTAACAATTTCCCAAACTATGGATCTAATGATCTCTTAGTATGGAACCAAGCCTATGCATTTTTGTTGCAAGGGTATAAACCTTATATGTACAGTTTGAACCCCCAAGCCTAATTTATTTATGAATCCAAAGGAAAAAAGACACAAAGAAATATATTTTTGAAGGCTCTTCTAGAATTTCACCATGTTCTGAAGTGACTTTTTTGATGAGGCAACTACAGAGTTATTTTCTTAAATACCACAATAACCCAGAGCTCCTCTTCAGGAGGTCTTTCTAGATCCCCCGTGCTTTTTGGCACTATATGAACTATATGAGCAGCTACAAGGGCCTAATTTTTTTAATTATAATTTTTTTTTAATTGAGCGTCCCACAGTGACACCCAGGTTATTTCCTTAATAGTTACACTGGCAACTGTAGACTCCATTACAGTGTCAGAGAAGAAGAAATGGGCCCTCTAAACATGCATGGCTTTGCATTTTCCATTGAGTCTCTACCTCCAAACTGTGCAGTTTGCTGGTCACAGAAGGTAATCTGAAACCTCCCAGTGTTTTGCTTCAAAAGGCACAGATCAGAACTGTGTTCAGTGGTTGCAAAGAAGAATAAGCAAGAAATAAAAAGATGGGTCACACCCTTTTTTTTTCACACACCATTCAGCAGCAGACCAGCAGATATTTAAGCCACCTCAGAGGAGCTGGTTCCCACTCCATCTTAGGCAGATGGGTGCGTATTTAGTAGGTGCCTCTGATGAACAAATTCCATGACATAAATGACATCAAAGGTGAGAGCCAGGAGCAAGAGGAAGTGAATGTGAAGAGATAAGAAAATTAAATTAGAGTGAAGCAATACAGACTTGGTTTCTATGGGGTTATGTGATACAGCTGTACATTTTAGATATTTTATTTTCATTAAACTCCCACACATTGGTATCATAGAGCCTTATTTTCCAAGTCCTACTCATGGCTTACACAGTTCAAAGAATTAATATCATATTTTTTATAACCTATCAAAGAACCAAATCACTAAATGATTCCAACAGTCAGGATTTTTTCCCCTTCCACCGCTAATCCCAGACATCATCTCTTTTCACTGAAATGCCTTTTTGTTTTTTGAGGGAAAGAATCTGGACTAAAAAGTCAGGCCGGGCGTTTGTTTGTTTCTTTTTCTAAAGGGGTTCCATAGCATTTAGCTACCTATTACTGTTCTAATAGCAGAATAGCCCAAACCTTTTTGCTTTAGGGTCACATTTTAGGGAGCACATTTTATAAAATAGCAGTTACTCATCCAGCTTAAAGAGACAACCAGGCAAATCACAGGTGGGTACTGCAGGAAGCATCAAAGAGCAGAATCAGGTAGGTCTAAAAGAGGATGTTAAACTGGAACCACACTGTCAGCTTCTAAGCAGAGTAGTGAGTGATTGGTGCATTTAAATTTCTAAAGATTTTCATTTTTGTTAAATAACCCTCCCTACAAGAGATGTTAGAGTTGTGAAAACAGTTATTAAGTAGTCGATATAGTGGTAAAAATTCTGAATGTGATCAGAATGTTAAACAAAGACACTGCAGGTCTTTAGCATATACATTTTTAATGTAATTAATTGTGTTGCCAGTTTCACATTTGGTCAGATCAAATTCCAATTTTAAGTAGAAATATGTAAGGTAATGATTTTTGAAATATAGATCCAACTCAAATAAAACTCAAACTTAGAAGTAAAAGAGGAGAAGTCTGATTACTTCCCAGCTATCCAAAGATTTCACTGCTTCTCATCAACTCAGTAAACACTTATACCATAAAAACAAATTAAAACTCCCTTTAGATGATGAAACTAAAAATATTTTCTTAGAAAACAAACACAATTATCCCTGCAATGCCACTGGAAATAAATGACATGTGGACTGCTGAGGATGGTGAATGTCCACTGTAAGTGTCCTATAAATATTAGGAATTGAAACACTGCTCTATAAATATATTTCATGGGAGTTTAAAAAAAGAAAACCTTATGGAGCAAATTACTCATCAAGAAAACCCTTAAAGTTTATTTAAAGATAATGGATACTCATTCTGTAGTATTTCAAGAAACTAAAGCTAGACTTGTACAACCAATTTTCAGGCCCCTAGTACTCCCCAATGACACACACAATAAATATAACTCATAATTTACTGTATCTACAGGGAAAAAAACCCACTTGGACAAAAGCAAAAGAAGGATAATACTCAAAAGGAGGATGAATATAAGATCACATATTTTCACATCCTGTCTATGATATGAAAAGATGACCTTGAAAAAGGGTGAGGATGGAAACTTGAATGCTTTATCGGAGCTGTCCCGAATTCCACTGAAATCAGTGCCAATGAGAATGGGATAAGCTAATGCACAGCAAGGCTAAGGTCAGAAGAGGACGAGGCTATAGACCCTGGAAAAGCTGCTACATGGAGGGTGACATTACAGAAGAGCAGTCGCAGCATTTCCAGGAAGGTCATTTGCAATTTCCAAGCATTTTGTGCTCAGCTACAAAGGATGGATCTGGGGCAGCAGAAATGGTACATATGGAAGATGAAGGCGCTGTTGGAACCAGGAGGGTGCTGGGCAGGAAGTCTGCAGCCCAAGATGCTACACCCTCACATGAGGTCTTCCAAAGAAGCAAAATGCTGGCTTACAAATTGCTCATGACACCCGCGAAGAGCTTTGACGTACCGAAGAAGCTCTGCACTCTCAAGTGAGGGCTATGTAGATGTTATTAAAGCCCAGAAAGCATGAACCAAGCACCACACACACACTTTGTCATTTCTCTCTTCGGGCTGAGAAATCCTTCCAGTAGGATTGGAGTAGGATGTATACCAAAGCAGAAAAGTATAAATATTTTAGTCAAAACCTTATAGTGAAGTGGAAGTGGGAAGTTCTGCATAAAGATCAGCAAACAGACTTCACTGCCTAATAGTTCTGTTTGAAGAGAGTTGTTTGGGAAAACTCTTCATAATATCTGGAAAGTGTTGTGTTTGTATTAAATGTTTTGTTCACTGAGAAATCATATGGTGCTCTGCTCTCAGAGGCTGACTGGCAGCTGCTGTTACCCACCAACATGCAGGATTTGGCACAACACAACTCTGAGGTTAAACTGTGCAATATTTTGCACAGTTTGCCAAGAGAAGTTGTGGCTGGCCCATCTCTGGAAGTGTTCAAGGTCAGGTTGGATGGGGTTTGGACTAACCTGGTCTGGTGGAAGGTCTCCCTGCTCATGGAAGGGCATTGTGATGATTTTTGCTGGGTTTAAGATTCTATGATGTTCTTCTGCAGAGATGTAAACTGAAGCACAGGAGACAGGGAAGGTTCTAAAGGGCAGCTGAGGTCATCTTATATAAACTCAGCTAGTTGTATGCCAGGAACCTTAGCAAGTACCAAGTTCAAACCATACAAGTCAAGACTATGCACAGAAACCAGTTTTTCTTCTGCAGTATCATGACCCTTAATGATTTGGAAGCTGTAGGTCTCCACTGAGCACAAGTTTTTTTCTGAAAAGGGAAGCATATGGATTCTAGCTAAGCAATCTGTCGGGGTGCTGGGGAAGATGCAAAAAGAAAGGCAGCAACACATTCCTGCAATCGTGTCACCGTTCTTCCTTTTTCCATCTCACACTTTGGGGAGAGGATAAAGCCCGCCTACGGCACAGAAGGCACATGAGGATAAAGGCAAGGCTGGAGAATGGATCTGTACTGTGTGCTATTAAGAATGCAGTAAAGCCTCAAGATGCAGAATATGGGAGTCTTCAATTTTGGCAAGAAAAATGTCCAACCCAAAGTCAGCAGCTGATATTTAACCAGGAGGGTTAGAAGGTCCTGTCTTTTCGAGGGCAGGAGAACATGACCCCTTTGATTCCCTGGGATGTGTAGCAGCAGTTACTTCTATTACTTGTGC